GATTACTCACCTTTCGATTTGAAGAAGGACAGTAGTAGTGTCTAAACGACTCGAGATACATTTATTTTTGCTTTTTTTTTACTTCCCCCCTATTTTTTTTTTTTTTTTTTTTTTTTTTTTTTTTTTTTTTTTAATATTTATTGACTCACGACGGAAGAACGACGACAACGAGAGACAGAAAAAGGATTTCGGGGAAAGAGGAGTATATAAGGAATACAAGGAACGATTTAGAGAAAGAAAAAAAGAGAGAGAGTGAGAGATAGGTCTACCTTGTCGAAGGTACAGGATATCCCTGAAGCGAGTGACTGAATGCTACGTTCTGACCCTGAGAACAAGATACCACTTCCCATCCCTCGTATTTCCTGCCCGAGGAACGCGGTGCTATCTTGGTGGTACCCTCTGAAATAGTCACGTAGAATACTCAAAGGAGAAACGTATTTCTATCTTTAACTCGGTAGTGGTAGATACTACCTTGTCACTGGGACAGGAAATCCCTGAGTCGCGCAATCCAACGCCGCTGTCGTCATCTTTGGAACATCGACCAGCTTGCCGCCCTCATAACGTTCACCAGCAATGCGTGGTGAGACATTGCCGGTTGGTTCTGCAAGCAAGGTCGGTCGATTCAAAGATACGACTTTATCGAATTTTTATTCAATCTCTAATCAATTCAATTACGATCGACTCTCGAAATTTTCCTCGTTGGATTTATCCCTTTTTCTTTTTTTTTTTCTAGATTTTTATTTTGTACCTGAATGCGGGTGCCGGGAAGCCTTGAACTGGACATATGAGACCAATCATTTCGTTTATAGAAATGACTTTTTTCATCGAATTGACATCCTTATCCTTGACATTTGGTCGAACACTACCACGCGGTTCTGTAAGCAAGGTCGATTCAAAGATACGACGAATCGAGCTCAAATTGGTCTCTAATCGATTGAATTATCATCTGAAGCTCTAACTTTCCTTATCGAATTATTCGTTCGTCTATATTTTTTGTACCTGAATGCGGGTGATGGGAAGCCTTGTACTGGACACACGAGACCAATCATATCGTTCATAGAGATGATTCTTTTCATGAAATTGACATCCTTATCCTTGACATTTGGCCGAACGCTACCACGCGGTTCTGTAATTTTTTAACGAATATTTCTTCCAAAAATGATTCAACTGTTATTCCATTAAAAAGTCGTCGATGCACGGCACACGATTTCAAAGACAAGGTATTCTAAAGATTATCCTATTCTCTACCGTTGCTCACCTGTATAAAGGTAAAGGACTACCCTGAGCCTCGCAGAGCAACGTCACAGCCTGTCCCTGAATTTTCATCATTCCGTCGAATTTTGATCTAGGTGGCAATCGAGGAGGACTACTTCCGATTGGTTCTAAAAATCAAAATGTACAAAAATCCCAACTTCATGTCTATCACTCACAGCTATCTTTTTCAATTTTATTCGGGGAAAAAAAAACTAAAGAAGACATTTATTCTCTCCCTTCCTCTCTCTCTCTCTCTCACTCTCTCTCCTATCGGATATCCAAAAATACAAACCAAGTAATACATTTCTTCGAAATAGATTTCAGTGAAACATTTCTACGTAACCTCTCTCTCTCTCTCTCTCTCTCTTTCCTTCCATGCTTTTTCTTAAAGCCCAAACTCCAAGCCAAAATTTCGACCGCACGACGTCCTATATTTAGTCAACCTATTTGCATTAGAGCGTACCTGAAGACTGGAAGTGGATTTGCTTGCGCCTGACATAACATCGCCAAAGCTTTTTCTACCGGAAGCTCAAGGACCGTTATTTTAGCCGTTGGTGGTACTTTTGGTGCAGCACGATTCACCGGTTCTAAATAAATCAACGCGGTTTTTCAATTAAATTGCTCGATCAATCGATTGATCATTTAATAAACGAATATAATCGAATAATGATTAGAT